AAAATCATTAATAGGCAATCGTTCGATGAGCTGAATTGCGCAAAACGCACGATCGCACCGGCTAGTTTAGTGCGCGTTGTTATTTATTTTTTTTTTTTTTGCCCCAACAGTTTTTCGGAGTGTTCATCGGCCATCCCAAATTTTTTGAGTACCGCAAGTACTTTACACTATTTTTTTCTCGTTGTTTTTATCAAGAATTCAGCCAACGTCAACAAGATCGATCAAATACGCCCGAAAAATGTTTATTGAGAACCGGCTAACCGTTGAAACATATTGATGCTCAATCGAAGCACCAAACTTATCGTCGTCTGGAATTTTCATAGCTCCATCTCGATCCCAATCACAGTACTCGATAAATGGGCACTGACACTTTTGCCTGGCCACTTTCCGGAACGTATAAGAGACCCTGCGTTGCCGTCGCATCAGTTTGTTCGTTTCAGGATTTATGTCGTATTTTCGCTTTGCTATCCTGTAAAATATCAACAATTTCAAAGAATTTAGAAGAAAAAAAAGACGATTACAAATTTCCGCACTTTTAACTTTGATTAGCTGTTTTTCCACCGCCGCGTTTCTTCTCGCCATTGATGCAGCTGGCAATTTCTCTAACCCCACTTTTTTTGAACATCCTCTGGCCTTTTAAACAAATCTGTCTACTATATTGCCGATTTTCTCTGTACTCGTCTAATATCTATATAATTCGCTTGTCCATCTCTGAATCGTCCATATAACCAAGCCAGCTCTTTCTGCTGGCCTATATTGCCTCAGTAGCATCATCAACACCAGATGGAGACGCAGAACTTTATTGAAAATGTGCTACAGCTTGCTGACAAATACTATGCGTCGTCCCGTGACTCTAAGCCATCCACAGATCCTTTTCCCTTAGCAAGTGAAATATTCCTCATCCACAAAGCATTCGTAGGACTTCCGAATTAAAGCTGATGGATTTTTACAGCTGTGACCTTGAAATAACAAATTTAGAATGCTACCATAGTAGGTTGACAGTGATAAAACAGAAATCACACAACAACTGGCCTACTTTCAGATGCGAATTATACAAAAAATGAAGTTAATTTGCTATTTTAGGAGGTTGCTGCCGGCTTAGAACGTCAGC